ACAAACAACAACAAACCAAAAACAATAACAACCACAACAACAACAAGAAGAACACTAACAGCAACAACAACAACAACAACACCAGCACCAGCAGCAGCAGCAGCAGCCGCAACGACAACGACAATGACAACGACAACGACAACGACCACAACCAAAACCACAACAACACCAACAGCATGGACGGGGGCAACCGCGGCAACCCCTTGTTTTTGTAGAAGATGTTTGTCCTCCAAAAGGGCCCAAGAAAAAAATAGAACATGTATAAGACAGTGTTGCATTGCATATAAACCTATTTGATTTCAAAGTCTTTTGATAAGATCCAAGAAAACACTAATAAGGTCCATAGCACAGTAAGATCCAAGTAAAACTTTAGGCACAACACCTAAGTCACAGTTCCGGTCACAGATGTCTACAAAGTCGACTGTTATTACTGCCAAGAGTACCTGGTGTGTTTTGCAGCTTTGGAATCAGGGCTGGAGAGTTCACTATGCACTGAATATGAACTTGGAAGTCTATTCATCAAGAACCAACAAGGGGATGATAAACACTCCAAAACAAAGGGGATTGTACGTGCAATAACAGATAAACACGAGAAGACCAGCTAAGAAAATCATAGAAAATCAGAAGTCGGCACAAATCAGGATACCTTCCAAGGCTTCAGGAGTTTGCACAGACCAGCGGCGCTGGATAAGCTGGACTGGCTCTGTGCGGTACGGCTGGTTTTCACGCTCCTGGACGGCCGACCAAGGTCTCCAAAGCCCCCGACCGAGGGGGGCGGCGCTTGGCTACAGCGACTAGATTTATGAGTTCATAACCTTTGCACAGGGCTCATTTCCATAAATATTTAATGTTTTTTAAATGTATTTTTTATGGCTTGAAGATATGTTTTTTTTATGGTTGTGAAAAAGGCTAAAATTGGATTTATGATATGTTTATGTTTTTTTTAATGATTTTTTTACAGCTTGAGGACTACTAAATTTACTAAATAGGCCTATTAAATAGGCGCTCCAGGGCTGCAATAAGCAGAATGTGTTGTCAGTGGGCAGGCTGGAAACTCTCATATAGGGGAACTTGGAAACTCTCATGTAGGGGGCTGTCAGACCCCCCCAGGCAACACAATTGGGTATGTTTGGCACGTGCTTCGGCTCACCTCATAGGGCCTGAAAAAGGCCATAAAAAAATCCATATTAAATTCATATTGTTGGAGAAGGATGCAAATCATGTAAAAACCATAAAACACACTGTGTTTTATGTTTTTTTTTATTGGTTTGGGCAGATTGGTAGTTTTATGAGTTCAAAAGTTAGAGAAAAGTAAAAATCATATAAAAACCATACAACACAGTGTGTTTTAAGGTTTTTATATGATTTGCACCCTTCTCCAACAATATGGATTCTTTACAGAAAAAAATACGGTGGCTCCAGAGCTCCAGGTTTTGTTTATGGGGAAGAATACACTTTGCACAAAGGTGTGAGTCTGGTGTCGGGCCTCTAGGGGACTGCCATCACACGCCCCGCCCTAGGCCCTGGGCCCTCCTCACAAGTACCCCCAAACCCACGTAAAACACCCAACCCGGAATATGGAACAGGAGCCCCAAAACCGGATCCTTGCGATCTTCCAGGGGCGGCTGTGTGGTCACCGGAAGGGCACAGTGAGCACCCAACAGTGCCGCATATTCCAATTGCGGCTTCATTTTTAAAAAAGTGTAAAAAACACATATTCCCAGATCATATCCAAACCATAAAAAATCAATTAAAAAAAAATATTTGGACATACTCTTCACCTGCAGGCTTCTGAACTCTTAAGACTAGATTGGCTTTTGTCTTCCCAAACTCAGCTGGAAGACCACTGATCATTGATGTGCACCTGTCAAAAGTCTTCATCTATAGATCGTGAGATGGGTGGTTGGCTTCGAGTGGTTTTGATATACCTGTCAAAGGTGTCACCGTGTTCACTGGCTCAGTTTTGGTCTTTTGGGTAGTGACTCATGGTAGCAAACCTCAACAGCGACGGGCCGCTGGTCCGTCGGTCACGGTTATATTCGACAAGCCGTGTGCTGGTGTTCCTCCTGCAAACATGAAGATCATGAAGTTTTTCTGGGCGGCACTGATGGTTCCACTTCTGGGCGCGAAGTCCGGTTTCGACGACACTCTGACGAAGACATCACATTGGAAGTAAGTGGATGGCATGGTCATGGTCAAGAAAAGAACAGGGGGGTGCGATGTGTTCGTCAGAGTGTAGACATTTCATTCCAGGTGGTGGCACCTAGAGGCAACCCTTTTTCGGGTGGTGTCAAGGACTGGTACAGTCTGATGCAGAAAGAACTGAGGGTAAAGATGACCCTCACGAGAGGATTCAGATATTCTGGTTGCTTCTTTAGTAATTAATAGGGTTAGGGTGTACACCATTACCAGTAACAGTTGGCAGAAAACGAAGATAAGAAAGAGTTTTGGATCGAATGTTTTGACTTCTTTTGGTGTCATTATATGTGTTCAATATGATAGATTAATATAGATTATATCTCATGGAGATTTGAACCAATTCAGTTTCGCACAAGACAACTTCTTCAAGCCATAATTGGGATAAGAAACACGACAAATGATTCTTTTTGGTCTTGGATATGAATAGCTGGGGTTGACACTCATGACCCAACCAATGATGCTATAGGATTGCCATCCGAGAGGACCAACCTCGCTGTGGCCAGTGCAGAATTGAAACATAGAAGTGCCTGGGCGCCTGAGGAAGCGATACTCTTTCCACCGTCCACTCCCGGAAATCATCTCTGATGGTGGAAGGTGCTTGGCCATGGCTCCAGAAGACTCGGATGGAATTCCCCCCACAGCTGGGGAACACAAAGGAGCTTTACACTCTGGAAGACTAACATGGACCCTGAAAACCACCGAAAACCACCAACCATTGGTAGAGGAACACCATCGGACCCAGGGGTCCATGACGTCAGGGTCTATGTGAATTAGTTTTCGGGAGTGTAGAATTCTGTGACCCCTTTTGTGTCCCACCTGCTGTTTTGGTGCATGTCTTGCCAGTCCCACGGATGGTAGAGGACTAATATGTCTGCCCCCTTGGTAGATGGACCTTCAGGGATGCGTCCCCCCATCGCATCTACGGTGTCAAAAGGTCTCAAGAGCATTCCATTTGGAACTGGAGTGTGTTACACACTCCGAGCTGCTGTTCCATTGCTTGGTGAAGTGAAGAACCACTAGCTCTTTCCACTGCGTCCTGTTTGCCTTGAGTCGGACATACCATCCACTTCCATCCTTCGCATGTGTTGACCGACGTGGGAAGCTGCCAGGTTCTCCAGCTCGCTGTTGGAGATTCGGCAGAAGACCCACCCTCAAAAACTCAGACTTTCCTGCTTTCTTTGGTCTTCTCACCGGGGTTTGCTTCTTCAGGGGTTTACCTATATGTACACCCTGGAAGACGAACATGGAACCTGAACCCCCAACCATTGGTAGAGGAAAGCCATCGGACCCAGGGGGCCAGGACGTCAGGGTCTATGTTAGTTTTCGGGAGTGTAGACCTTGTAGAGTTCTTCAGACACTCAGAATTCTGTGTAATAGTTCTTCAGACACTCTGAAGGTCTATATAGAACTCAGACTTCCGTGTACCTTCTACGCCCCTCGATTCGTCTACGCCCCTCAGACCCAGCTCCGGTAGGTTTGCGACGCTGCGAGCGTCAGCATTGCGTAGCATCTCGAGCCGTTGGCGAGAGGAAAAGGGATTTTCGATGAGGTGACTTGGTGTGTTTTTGTTTCATGAGCCGTGTCCATAAAGACTTACCACATGTTGCAAGTCAGATCTGTTGCGCTAAATATCTCGGGGGGTTAAAAGGATGAATCCCCCTGGAACCAAGCAAGGAGTCCTTGGATGGATGTCATCTGAGGGGCACTGAGATTCAGTACACTCCCTGAAATAGTCGTGGAAGTGGACAATGGCCCCTGGGAAGACAATTTTCCTCTACAAATAGGTGGTGCCTTCTCCGCAGCAGGACATGACAAACAAGTTGCTTTCCTAAAAAGAAACATGGGAAAGCTGCAACACGGCGCTTTCCACAACTACTAGCACTGAGGAAGGTTAGAACAAAGGGCCACTTTCTGTGGATTTCTGTGGATTCCCAGTCCACTGCCAGTACGCCCTGGAAGAGACCCACATGGAACCTGAAAACCACTAGCTTGTAGAGGACAGTCTGGGTCCATGCCATCAGGTTTCATGTGGGTCTCTTCCTGGGTGTAGCAGAAGGGCTCTTTAGAACCTGCAACAAGGCTCTTTGGAACAGGGGCAAACGTGTCTTTTCTCATGGCGTTGCGCTCTTTTGATAGCAGTGAGCCATGGTTTTCGGAGGTATACGGTATACGGCAGTCTGTGAAAAGAAAGGCATGAGCCCATTCTTCTGCCGCCCTTGGCATCGTGTCGAGAGCCTTCAGGCTCTCGGGGCAGGATAAAGAAAAACAACACGAAGGGTCCCCAAGGGTCCTGAACGCGAAGACGGCAGTTGGTTGAAAAAGAACATCCAGAGAATAATTTACTACCCTGTGATGCTCTAAGTGAGGAAAGGCGTGTACTAGTGAATATGAATCTATTCATTTATCTTGCTGGGGCTTCACCATGGCCTGTACTGGATTTGACTTTGCTTGCAAGACAGTCGAGTGCAAGTGAGTTGTGGCAAGACAGTGAGTCAGTCAAGAAGCGGAGTAGCTTCGTCTGCCAGAGTCCGTAGATCGGCGCCATATACATTGTGTGTACCCCAGGATTCCAAGAACCATTGGTTTAAACCGAACAATCATTGTGGCACTTTTTGGAGTTTACACTACAAAACCAACTCAACCTTTCTTTCAAGGGTGGAAGGCTCATGGCCATCCGGTCATCCTAGGCCATCCGGGTCTTTTGGAGTCAATCCATCCGTTCGTCCTTTCACAACGGGACCAGCAGGGTGGACCGGTTCCCTCCTCGCACGGTTCACCACCGACGACTCGACCGTCCGCAGGAGGTACCACCGGAGGCACCACCCACCCGGTCGCAGAGCCACCGGCGACTTTGAAGCGTCGGGACCCGTCCGGCGAAGCGGCTCGCTTCGGCGGGCTTTCGGGTCGTGTGGTGTGCGGAGGAAGCACGGGATGGCACGCCGCGGTGAGCGGATTTGAAGGGCGCGAGAGAGAGAAAGAGAGAGAGAGAGAGAGATAGATTTATATCATAGTCACTAGCAAATGTGTTTTTTTGTGTCTAAGATGAGTTAGAAAAAAGGAGACCACCAGCAAATGTGTAGCCAATGTTTGAAAAATTTGGAAAAGATCAGACAACCTGAAGCTGAACTTGTGAGACAGAACCAGAACCACGTTAAGCACGATGATCTAGAGACCTGCTGCTGTCTCTTCTAAGCGAGCAACCACTGCAACTACGCACCAACATGGCACCAATTGGAGCTTTCATGAAGCAACTGCGGACATCTGCGGACCACACGAAGAAAAGCACCGTGATTTCCAATTTCCCGCTGTTCCCTTCCCTTTCGGTTTGCTTTTGCATGGGAGTCATCCCCAAAACAAATGATACCCACCAACACCGTCTACCATTCCGCAGAAGCATGCGACAAGGGCTGCCAAGGTCAATAGACATGCCGTTACGGCGTCTTTTTTCCAATACAGCGTTTTTCGTTGTGACCAGCATTTTCCAGCAAAAAACAAAAAAGAAACGTCGTTTAGGCTTCCAAACGGCGTGTTTAGGCATCCAAACAGTGCTTTTATGCGTCCAAACGGCGTCTTTCCCAGTCCATGGATTTTAAGCATATGTTTGCCATCCCTAAAACGACATTTTTGCTGATTACGGTGTCTTTTCACTGAAGAATACCTCCGGCAAAAATTCATGCCGATTGAAGATCCAGGTATAGACCTCCAAGAAATGTCTTGGACTCTGTGCCACGGTCATCTATTTGGGGACCACTATACTCAAGATTCGATGAGTCAAAAAGCGAACTGGAGAGGAAGGAGTTTGTCTTCGCAGCCCAGAAGATCTGTGCTGCCTGACGAGTTGGACATCTGTGGGGCGAAAGATGCCTCAACTGGACCAAGTGGTTGAAAAGATGACGTTGGGGGTTGGACAGACTTGTTTGAACATTCTCACCAGCCAGACAACAGATGTTCTTTATACTGTTAACCCACAAAATATTGTAAAAGATCACCATCCACACTGCGCATCGGACATGCCCTGGGACCAAAACCAAGAGCATTTGTGAGCATTGATGAGCCTGTGACATGAGTGTTTTTGAAGGCTTCTGGGATAGGGTGCCTTTTTTCCAGGCACACCCGAGAACCTCGTTCCGTGTTGCCCAAAACCAAAACAGCGGCTGAGTGAAAGGGAAACCGCAGTGGTGCTTGCAGCTGGTGCTGGTCGGTAGCAGCTCGGCTAGCGGTGGACCGGGACGGACCCGGTACGGACCCGGTCGTCCGGTTCAAAATCGGTTCCGACAGATGGGGGTCCCCGGTGCCAAGAGGCATCATAACCAGATGGCAGTGGGTACTTCGACCTGTTCCACTTCCCCTAGATGGACCATCATCAGGCTGGTACTCCAGGGTCCACCAGTGTAGGAGCCTCTTGGAGCCTAGCAGGGAGTTCCTCCAACCCTGTTGGCTAGCATATTGGGCTTTCTACGTTGGAAGCGTTCACAGTTCATGAAGCAATGAATGAATGCAGATCGTCTCGCTGGTCTTCCTTGACAGCAAAGCAGCCAGTGGCATGTCCAATACAAGCAGAACACCTGACAGTCGCACATACCGATACCCACATACTCCTCATTTGCCAAGAGCTCATCTACTGTGCTATGGTTTGAGTGTTGAACACATAGCACAGCAAACACAAGTCTTCACATATGCATGCCCGCCTAGAACACCCATCAACCAGCCCTTCCAGGCCATGAAGAGCTATTCTTGGCAGTAGATCCAACAAGAAAAAACAACCTTCAATGAGAAAGGAAAAACAATTAATGAGGAGAGAGAGAGAGAGAGTATGTTTCTTGGTTGTGTTCTCATTTGTGTTGAACACTGCAGAGCTCCTTGGCCTTCGGACTTCGTGATGTCATGGGCAGAGCTCCTTGGCACGAAGACTGGACCACGCCGTTCACCCGCTCCGCTCGCGCCTTTCGCTCGCTCGCTCCGCTCTGTCGGGGGGGTCCCCATGGGTCACCTGGAGCGGTTGACCCTGGGTGGCTGGAGCAGTTGTCCCTGTCGGCCTTTCGTCCACCTTCGGTTCTTTTGACCCGTGACCCCAGCGGTCCACCGGTGGGTCATGGCCCATGGGTCAATGAGCTCCATGACGCCAATGGCGCCGGAGTATGGGAGGGTCGTATGGGAGGGTAGCAAGCCCCAGCATCAAGAGACTCAATACAAGACCCACGCCTGGCGAGTCACATGACATCTTTGGTGTGGGCAGGCGCCACCCAGGGTTCGTAGCCTGTAAAGCCTGTAAAGCCTGTAAAGGACAAAGGGGACCGACCATCTATATATAGGTTCCTGTAACCGTAGAGTTTGCCCATTACCCACGTGCCATGCCCCAATTTCTCATGTTGATGATCATGACGACATATGATATATTATGACGATTATACACTTATTATATACAGTATATCAATGTTGAGAATACTTAGAGCATACTGTTCTACGTTATTGATCATCCCGGAATCTTCATCCCTCTTCATTGATGAGTGTTCATTGGTCGGCGAGAGAAAGAGGTCAGTGGTCTTAGCAAGTGTCAAGTGCTTCTTCGAGTGAGTGACAATGATTAGTAAGGCTCGTAGCCTGTAGCTTAGCCATTCCCAGCCATGCCTACACCATCGCCACGCCTAGCTATATAAACTCCACCTGTGACACTCCCTCATTCCCTCGACTATCACCCCCGTTTCAATGAGAACAGAACGCACACCAATGCGGGTATGGGATGAACAGGCAAACCAGGTACTACGCACCTGCATCGCTCCAGCAGCGCCGTGCTTGGCCGCTCCAAACCACCAAGCCATCACCGTACCGAACCTGCTGATTCGGTATGTGAATCTGACATGACCAGTGACCAGTTGCTACCAGTATCCACGACGACCACGTCGAAAATCCATCTGCACAGGGTGGACGGATTCGGGTTTTCCGGCGACGTCGGGTCTTTCCAGACCTGACAGACCTGGCGAAAAGAGTTGATCAACGTGCGAAGTACGGGGCAAGTGACCTGTTCCCGTATTATGCTACAACGCAAGCTTTGGGGGACCTCAAATCCCTTGAGGTTTCGGGTTAGTGCATGAGGTTTGTTCCACGTTGTGGGGAGACGAGGCTGTTTCATGGAGAAAACTGGGGCATGATGAGCACAGGGCCACAGCAGTGGGTGGCGGTGAGGAGAGCGCTGCGAAACTTGGTGGCCACAGACATGTGGGTTGGAGTGGGTATTGGTATTTGAACAGGATGAGGTACACTTGGTGACAGTTGCAGCTAATCTCGACAGGAGAACACCGCCAAGTTTGATCAGGGAATGGAAGAGCGCACTTTGACCCAAAGTTTGAGACCTGGCATGTAGGAGAAAGGCGAGACTTGGCCCCGAGTATGTGTATCGCTGAGAATGGTGCAATGGCCCCCTTCGTTGAAGACACGGAGAAGGAGGAAAGCTGAGAATGTCTTCAAGAGAGAGGGTTTCTCTTCAATGGACCACCTATCTTTTTCCGATTGCAAGCGCTATCCGTAAGTCAGAGACTTATAGCGCATGGCAGCAAATTTGGAAAACAAATGACAAGTTTGGGTGGCATGTCATGCAGCTGTTGTGAGGCACCTCAGGCGCACGTTCGTGCACCCTCGGTGCCTCCACCACGTCCTTTCTTGGTCATTGGCAGGTCCATGGTAAGGCCGTGCCTGGCTACTGCAGTCCTCCAGCCTCCTGGAAATCGTTGAGAATCCGGCCCCTCAAACACAGGTGTCGGGCCCGACCCCTGCCATGGAGAGCCTAAGGATTCTTAGGGCAGCTTGTTTGACCATCCGTTTCCAGCCTGGCTTAGCCTCTTTCCATTTCATGCAGATCTCTTCAAATGTACTGTTCCATGCATTCGACTTTATGGCTGACCTCATCCATTGAAGCTCTTGCGTGCCTGGAAATCCAACTCACCTCCAGTTCCGCATCAAGAAATCACATCTAGGACTGCTGGTCCGGTCAAGGCCTTTTGTTGCCATATCCTTACGATAAACAAGGCAATCTGTTTGTTTTTCGCAAAGCGGACCGCTTCAGTGGAACAGAACGTGAGCAGCAGTCCTTCTCTGTCAAGGACCGTCACCGGATTTGATCCGGATCAACCCTCCCCACATCTGTAGCGTCCCTCCCCACTGGTCCCACCGAGCCGCTTCATGTCAGCGGAGCCGCGGACACTGGAGACCAAACCTCCCTCACTGCCAAAAAGCAGGCGGGAGAAAATCAGGCTCTCCGTGAGGTAGTCTGGTGTGGACCTTAACGCCCTTGTCCCAACTGTCAGAAGGCCGCCCATGCCATGCCTATCCTGCAGGATATCTCTTGTTTGAGGCCTCCGGTAGCTGTGTCCGTGGTCCATTTTGTTGGGCTTTGTGACTGAACATTCTGGTCACCAAATACCCAATATAAACTCCCCAACGGAGCGTTGGCTCAAAGAGCGGTGTGTCAATGTGATAGACCGTTGGTTGCAAGTGGTTTTCAGACAGCGGCGATGACATTGCTTCGTTTAAGATAGGAGTGAAAATGCACATGGTCCCATGGTCTAGTTTGTCCGGTTCTGTCACAGCAATCGCATTTTGTTTCGGGCTCATTGGTCCCAAGGACTCTTTGGAGGTGGAACACTTCCAGTCAACAATACCAAGTGCAACGAACCTTTTACATGGATACACCACATGCCCAGTGGCTGTTCACGCTAAGGGCAAGAAGAAGATGCTCGGATGGCATGGGTGCTGTCCATTGTCCTTGGGCTGTGCACTGGGAATGTTCGAACGCTACCCAAGAGACTTCAACTCTAGCTGGTGCTCAGGCTGCCAAGGAGCCGGCACGATCTACAGGGAGTTCTTCAGAACTTCAGGGAGTTCCAACCCCTTACGCCAGCAATACAGCTGGATTTCCCGTTTCAACCCCATTGCCATGTATGGGTGTCACCCCCTTTCTGAATTCGTCGCTTGAACCGCTCTCTTTGTGTGCGTCATGTGTAAGTAATCGGGCCGACCTCGCCTGGAGCTACGAGGGTCCACAGAGGTTGAGGGTTCTTCCCTGGCTTGGGCTGCGGAAGGGGGTTCGGAGGTCCGCCGATGGGAGAGGGAGGTCTCTCCCTACGTATCTGGAGCTACACAGTCACAGACTGACAGAATCACAGGGGAAAAGTTGAGTTTCAAGTGATTGATTGAGAAACTGTTTCAGTAACTGAAAAGAATTGGAGTATGTGAAAATCACATGTTTCTTTCTCAAAAAATGGTGCAGAAAAAAGGAAAAACTAATTGAAGCAGATGGGCATCATGGACCATCCCCTAGGGCTCGGTATCCCCCAGCCACATCTTAAAGGTCCTAAGCCACCAACGGATCCACCGGTTGGATGTGGTTGGATCCCTAACAACTAACTCTACACTCCTTGATATAATCATGGAAGTGGATTGGATGGCATAGTCCCTTGAATCTTCCGAATACTCAACAGGCGGTGAACTCCACTTCCAGGATTATGTCAGGGAGTATATCTCCTCCACATGAGGAGCACATCGTCTCGTGGCTTTAAATGCTGGTTCTTGATGGGTTTCCAGGTTCTGGGCCAGGGAAGAAATCCGTGTGAAGACCGGGCTCGCCCCTTCTTTGCTTCCTCAAAACCCCCCCGGCTTTGGAGGCCCCAAACGCGGCCCGCTTCGGGTGTTTTGGTTCGTCCCCCAACTCCACGGCCCAAGCGCGACCGGCGGGCGCCCGACCCGACCCTGGGGTCGAGTCGATCTGGAGAGTCGCGAAGCCCACAGGATGACCTCCATTGTTCTTTTTTGCCACGTGACGCAACACAGATGCGTATATATTTGACGTATAGGTTTACTATCTACCTGGTTGGAATGACCCCAAATCAAATGAAAGGAGACCTGGTTGCCACATATCAATGGGTGATCTAAATACTGAGCTGGGAGACCTCTTGCTGGACCCTGGAGGGCCAGTCTGACAGTCCGGTGATGTGAAAGAGGCTCCATATGAAGAGGTTGTCCAAGCCATGTATAGAGGGTGATAAGTGATACTACGCCATATGAAGAGGTTCTTCGAGCCATGGTTTGGAGGGGTTTTATATGGTTTTGTTCATGAGGCTGTTCAAGCCATGTCTGCTGTTTTATTTCGTTAACATGCTACATGACCTCTTCATCCAAAGACTTGAACCTCAGATGGATGTTGTTTCGAAGACACGGTCCGAGCCGGGGACGGGATTTCGAAGTTTCTACCGATCTCCCAAGCCCATCCAAAACACACACATTCCAAGAACACGGGTGATTAATTAACCCATGCAGTTGTTTTGTTGCTTGGTTTATATTATAGACATCCAAAAAACATTCCAACACACACACAGACCAGGTGTTCACTAATCTTGTTTAGCTGGTGGACAATGTTGTTCTACCTGGACTCCAAAGTACCTCAGAAAATGGGAGTTTTTCTGGTCGAACTCCCATTTTCCGAGGGACGAATGGGTCAACTCCAGGTAGTCTATTACTCTTGGAGCCTTCCCCGTCCTGAGCTTGACCCCTGACCACCCACCGGCGCCCCAACACCGAGGGACTCCCGTCGGAAAGCGCCCTTGGGCCAGGGACGAAGTGCAGCTCGGTGGAGGGACACCTGGGGTGGACAGTGGACACGGGTGGTGCGTTTGACGGTCAAACTCATCATGATGTTTTATTTCTGGGGGTTCTCTTGGGTGGGTTGGATATGAATGTTCCACTTCAGAAGCCTTTTCTTGACCTGGCGGACCCCGAACGCCAACGCGAGCAGAGGAACCAGAAACAGCAACGAATCGATCGGAACGATCGTGAGTGGAGTGCACCTTGCCATCTCCACGGCGGTGCGATCGCCGGTAGCTTCCGCTGTTGGGAGATGAAGAATCCCCGAAAGAGAAAGCCGCAAGCCCAAGCTGCTTCCGAGCTGCGCAAGCAGATGTTGAGTCGCCAATTGTTTCGCCAATTTGTTGCCGGTGCGTCCTTGGTCCTTGCCACTATGGAAGCTCAAGTTCTGGAGGATCAGCTTGATGAGCTCTAACTCACAGAACCCCCGAAAGACACCAGAACTGCTGGTCGCTTCGAGCCGACCAACTCCTTAAGACCTTGGTATACGAGGTCGTTCCGCATGAAGACGAGCAGAAGTTTATATGAACGACATATGTTTTGTAGTCATCATATAATATCAGATAGTATGATAATCACAACCTTATGAACCAATGGTAAATATATATATATAGAGTACTCTCTCGATCTCTCTCATATTATCATGTATTTGTTTGACAACCATATGAACCAATGGTGATATAAAAAGTACTTTCTGTACATATTTGTATAACAACCATATGAACCAATAGTACTCTATAATATACAACCCCTATGGTTCCAAAGACTATTTAAACAATAGCGCTTTTGGCTAAGACTATTTCCATCATATGCCAAATAGTCTTTTGGCATTCACAGTTGAATACCATGCACACACAGTTTCACAGCTACACATGCCTTTTTCACATCTGCTAGCACTCCGCAGACCTGGCACTTGCCTTTTGGCAAGTAAGCTGGATCATCGCGTCCTGCAAGCTTCACCGGTATTGCAGGCACAAATAAATATAGGCCGACACTTGCTGGAGGCAAAAGCAACTGAAACTTGTGCAAACTTGCCCGGCCTCCTGCGAGAAGCACAGTGTTTCAATGTTCTCATCCTGCCCAGAGGCAAACAACTTCAATCAAAAGGCTATTGGCCACATACCCTGGTTCAACATCCAAATGACCAAGCTTTCAAGCACATGGCCTCAATTTGGAACACCTTAGGATCCACAGACATCTCGTCTTGGGATGGGATCTGGCCGCCACACCTTAAAACATCATGTTTTTTTCAAGACTTCTGGCACCAGAACACACACATTAAAGATCTTAAGACACATTAAAGGACACATTGCATTGCACAACATACTTCATACTAGGCACTTTTGACCCATCGAAGGCAATCTTCATCGCAGTAGGTGTGCACAAAACGAGGGTTGCTTCCTGGGCCAGCATCGGCTGCTGGGCAACAAATCAAGCCAGAGATTTAGTACATGGTATAGTGCACATGTAGCACCACAACAATGGGAGGGAATTGCATACTTGCAACCACAAGATTCTATAATGCAGGATGTCTTGCACAATGTGAGATAGAACCTTGGTTGGTATAAAATGCAGCAAGCTCATGATGATACATGACAAAAACGACAGTTCAGTACTAGCACGTTTTGCACACATGGGTACACATGCACACATCACATTGAACCAACTTCAGCTTGGGCACATGATGTTTCGGCTTCATGAGCCATGCGCTCTGTCTCAGCCTGGTAAGGACAACGAAAAACACAAACATGGCAGCCTAATCACTGTGTGAGCAGTGTGTTCAACTGGGACTGCCAAAAGTCTACTTGGCATATGAGGGAAATAGTCTGATCCAAACGCGCTGTTGTTTATACATATTCTTTGGAACCATAGGGTGTAGACAAAGACCTGTTCTTATCCCTGAACACACTTCAATCGGTGCCTTATGTGCTCCACACATAGAATACGATAGAGTTCCAAGAAGTTTGCTCCTGAATTGTAGAGCTCTTGGGCAGCTTGAGGTGTCCTTTCCAGGCAACAGAGAGTGGCCAGAATTGTGTCCATCAACTAGGCCTCCTAAGGCACTGGTGCTGTCCACACATCTTACTGTAACCTTCCCCATGTGCTGACATGAGCTTCTTGACTACTCTAGAATGCCAATAGGCCAGTAGGACCCTTGACCACACTGGAAAGTTGGTTCAAGAGTCAGCATTATTATTTTAGAAAGTCACTGAGTCCCAGCAAGCATCCCAACACCCAATCCACTGCCATGCGTCAAATATCGGCCGTTGCACTCCATCAAGTACATGAACTTCGCCAACGCACTCCTCAAGACGACAAGGAATGGGCCCGGCAGCGGATTGATTGGGTGTGTGGCATGACAGGAATGTAGCAAACAAAACAAGACCTGAACAATACCCCCAAAATCCAGGCTCTTGTTGGATACCAGCCAAGGGTCATGGCTGAACTGGTCAAATTCAAAATCTGGTGCTGCGGGTGTGATTCCACAGCTGTCATCAAGCGGTCTGCTAGCCAGCTCAGGATGCAGCGGCCATTGAAGGCTTTTGCAGTGAACAGGTTCTGGCCATTCTTCTTCTTGACCTTGGGACGATGTCTGGTGATGCTGGGATGTTTATGTGTTTATGTTCTATTGGCCCAACATCATGCATGTTTGAGGATGCCCCTAGCAAGCCAACATTGATTGTAGATGCCCACCGCATCCCACAACCAATCCATCTATAGCACCAACCAGCACCCAACAACTTGTTGTGGTGGACCCAGACCTCAAGCCCAAAGCGCTTTTGTTTGATGGACAATAGGGCAATATCATGATAGCATTCAAAACAAACGCTGCTGATTCTATTTGCCAAAAGCACCATTTTGGGTACAAAAGGAGGTTGCGAGTGACGAATCCCATGGGATTTGCAATACGCCAAGAAGTCTTTGTAGGCTGAATCCAATTGCCCTGCAAAGGGCGGTGGCCCAAAAAAAGACAGCTCCTCGCACAACAGAATCCTCAGCTCACATTCCAGGATGACATGTTTGACTTTGACTTGGGTCCACTTTCTTCTACCAGAACGAGGCAGGGGACAGAATGGAAAAGGGATGGAACAGGTCTGTATGGCACACCGAGCTTCACTGATGCTGCATTGGCTGTAAACAGAATGCCAAGGTTTATGGCATGCATGGTGCACCAACGAATGACTCCAGGGTGGAATCCATTCAGCTTCAGCAACGGACCTTATATTGGTGACCCACCGACCAATAGTGGCTTGTGAATTAGCTACAAAATAATTAATACACAGGAGGGGACCACCAAATTAATAGTTGTGCTAGGCTAGAGCTCAGCCACACAGTTGTCTCTCTTTCAGTCGTCTGGCTATAAACTGCTGCAGGTCAAACGCTTCAGAATGCCAGGCACATGTTGCAGCATCGTTGTTGTAGTAGAGATATGATGTATTGCCCCTCGAAACTGCGGGACATCGGAAACACATAGGGCCGCTTGAAAGCCAGCTGCAACTGAATCTCCAACAATCTCTGTGGAATTCCCAGTCACCACGAATTTCAGTTACTGCAAACTGGAGACCTGTACGGGTTAGTGGCTGGCCTGCTCGACTAGCATCAGCACCATGCAAGTCCCAGCCACCAACACCACTACGCGGGTTGCAACCCACAAAGGCCCAGTTCAGTGACCATGTCAGCCGTTCCCAAACCTTGTTCAAGGTGCGATTCTTGTACATCTTGTCAACTGGAATTGAAAATAATACAAATCTACTGTGGCGAGTACTTCGGGGCCTGAAAAGCACTAGGTTCATTGAGATAGCCAGGTGTTTTTCAACTTTATAGACAGTCCAAAGCCGTGCACCGTCACCATGCAATCCAATAGGAATGTGACTGCTGCTTGCTGGACTTGATATTGACCAGGGATCTCCTACTGATCTAGCGTGATGCCAGTATTCCTGGACTTTGGCCGGGTCGATCTCAATCCCTGCGTCGTTGAAGAGGAAGCTCAGCACCCGATGAGGGTGTAGTATCGGGAATGATTGCACCCTCAGGCCTCGAGGGCTCTTTTTGTCCACAACTGGGATTTTTATACTCTCGACCTCCTGAGATTGGATAGCATCAAAAATAGTACCACTGAATCATCAAAAATAGGTCTACGTTTTTGGCCTGGGTGGGCAGGGATGTTTGGATCATTGCATATTGAACAGCATGCGCACTCTAGTGAGCATGTTCAGGGTTAGGGAAGCAATGGAAATCACAGATTGCAGGGTTGGATGTCAATCGATCAACTACTATAGAATGAACTAAGTGCAACTCCAGAGCAAAATGAACCCAATTCCAACCAAAGACACGACTGGGATGTCAGCAAATCGCCAAAAATCACGAGCATCATTCTTGCTAGATCTCGAAGCCAGGGTTTGTGTTTCAATGTGCGAAGCTTCACCGCATTCCTGGAGAAAGTGGTGCCAAGAACGAGAAACAAACCCTTGACCAGTTGACCAACCCAGCCATATATTCACACCCAAGGCAAACCATAACCAGATTCTGGTGCAGTTTGATGCATTATTGGGATGTGGGTTGATGGACATGCTCAACAGTTAAAAAGGGAGGTGACTATACTGGACAACTGTTGCGCACTGGATTCTTGTACTGTCGATCCTGCCCTCCCACCCACACCGCAAGGCACCCTTTGCACCAAAGGCTCGGCGACCTGGTTCCGCACCCGCTTCATGGTTGCAGCAACAGAGGTTGCCTGGCGCAGCAGGGCTCTTTCAGGGATCGCCAGTGTATAGGGCACAAACCTCCCCAAAATGATACGAATATAACAAGGTTTGTGGAAAACCTTGTCATTCGATACTACTGATCAGACCTGTAGTGTATGGTTTACTTGCATGCACAGTATACACACTCACACACAACATGGTCACATATAAGAGGATGTAAACAATCATTCAACCAGATGTCAATATGACGCAATGTTCAGACAAGTGTCGCCAGCAGCAACATCATCATAGTGCTGGTGCAAGGTGTGTGGCACTGAAGGTTCTCTGGTACCTCTGGCTGGGCAAAGGGCAAAGGGGGTGTGATGCAAGACCTGCGGAATGTGTATTCCATCCTGTGTCAAGCAGACCATGCCCACCACAATGTTTTTTTCTCCATCTCGAGGATAGCAGGTACAGGTAATGGCAAACTTCTGCAGCCTGCTGAACTAAGCAAGCCAGTGTGAAATGATCCCGCACACAGGCCTGTGAATGGTTCCAGGGTCAACTGCAGTGCCAAGCCCACAACCCCACCCCTGTGCACAGCCACGAAAAATGTGATTTACGTTTTAGGTAACAATCATTTGTCACCAGATTGAACAGAACCACAGTTGTTAAAGCTACAATGCAAGTCAATATAGGTGTCATGGCAGAAAGATAGACATTGCAAACCCTCAACCGGTTATTCAATCTCATTCAGGGTCATTTCATTACCCATGAATGTCCTACAAACAAAACATAGGCCCACATCAGGGCTAAAGGGATGGGAGCTGGCCTTCTCGACACTGGTACCCCAAGGTATTCAAGGAGTACCAGCCCCACAAAAACGTCACTTTGGAATGTTGTAGCTAGAGCAAAAATTCACAAAGTTTTTGATCACCTCCTCAGCATGGGTCTTACTAGCCGCCATGTCTCCCAGGCTCTCCACCTGCAGCAGCAAAGCATGGGGGCTCAGCTGGAAGGAGCATGTTATAGGTGGCCGGAGACAGGACGGTTGCCCTTCCAACACTCAAAAGTATACAATACATTGCATACATTCAAAAGACTTGGAGCTCATACATGGCCTTGGATTCATCAATAGATTTCTCCAATTTCTTCCGGGCTTCTCGAAGGTCCTTGAGGTGTGGCTGCACTTCTGCCAGAACTGCCCTTTTGATGGTGTCACTCCTCAAAAGAACGTTCAGTTCCAATCAACCCAAAAAAGGAATAAGTCGAACACATCAAGGCCAAGATCGATTTTATCTATGGGAACAATTCGGCTGGCCATGGAATTAAGCAGATTCATGCCTGGGAGAAGCACATGTCATGCAAAGGACGATAACCAAATGAGGATGATGTTCCCACAGTGTTTTATCACTACCCACTTTCACCAAAACATTTTAGCAACCCGGCAGCGCACAAGGCCCAGACATCTTCGAGAGCTTGTCGTCAAGGCTGGTCCCTCTCTGGATGTTGGATCCAAGCTTGGTGATGACCTGACAAAGCAATGGGGAGGTAGTTTACATTTGCATTGGTTCCCTTAGGAAATTTGGATTGGGGTACTTTGACACATGGTTTGTCAGCCTAACCTTTCTAGCAGCAACACATTGAACGAGTCTAAGTCATGTGAAAGTTGCTTAATATAACCCCACCCCACAGTAAGTTGGAAACACATGCAACCACAAGTAAGTCGGTCAACAACCTCTGAGAGCACACACACACATGCGCACGCCTGATTTGCACTCCGCTGTTCCTTCTTCAACTTGTCTTCCTTCTCCTTCTCAGCCTTCCTTTTCTCCTGCTCCCTCTTTCTCTCCTCCTCTTTCCTCTTCTTGTCTGCTTCCTTCTCCGCCTTCTTTCTCTTCTGTTCTTCTGTTAGTTTCTTCCCTGCATCTGCCCGATCTTGGTTCTCATCACCAGTGCCAGAACCCTTCCTCTTGGTAGCAGGTTTCTTGGTCTTGGCATCATCCTCCACAGCATTGGTTTTGCACACGCCCGATTGCCGATCCATTCACGAGGCTAAATTATGCAATCCCATCCAACTTGGATCATCAATAATGATGCTTGAGATAAACCTAATACTAGCTATTAAACAACAAGTAAATCTGGACCATGATTTCAAACAAGTGGTGGGCAGCCTGGCCTCAGATTCAGATGAGTCAGGTTCATCCGAAGAATCATTGGAAGCGCTGCTGCTTGAACTGCTTTGAGTAGACGAAGATGAAGACTTCTTAGCTTTCTTCTTCTTGCCTCCCTTCTTAGCCTGCTTCTTCTTCTTGTGTGATGCCTTCTGCTTCTTCCCTGACTTGCCTGAAGCCTTCTTGGTCTTCTTGGTTGGTTCCTCGTCCTCAGCTGCATCAGCAGCTTCAAACAACTGTGTGGTGACATCATCCATCGTGTCTTCTTCGCCTTCCTTGTCCCACACCAAGTATTGCCGAGTCTCCTGCAAGCTGCGCTTCCGTCTGTGTTGCGTAACCACAAGCATACATGCATGATGGCAACTCATGCGTGGCAGTCACAACAGATTTGAATTACCATCAGCTCATTAGCCCAGGAGACATCAGATTTACACTAATCAGCTGGTACATGTCGCAGGTGATACCATTCCCGTGCATCACATTTAGACCAACCATTGCATGTTGCATGCTACACAGAAAGCAGGCTAGCCTCGGTGTCTTGTCCGTGCAAATCCGGATGGCATCTCACCTGAGATTTGCTAGCCTCCGGATCAGCCATCTTGGCTGCAATGATTGCATCGACCACTGCACTATCGCCGTATTTTTGCAGCAACTCTCCTCTCGTTAGCCAGCGTCGGCTGCCATAGGAGCGATGCTTCCTTTTTTGCTTTACCTGGAGGTAAAACTCGCTTTGGGACCAGACGCCATTGGCGCTGGCCCATTGCTCCATCAAGATCTGCAATTTTGCAGAGTCCCGGTGCGCCGCCCTCCCTGCACGCCGAATTTCCAGCGGCGTGAAGGGGCCTCAGAGAACAGCACACGCAACACACAAGGGAAAACAGCACAGGTTGGAAGTCTTGAAACACTGGCCAGTGCAATATACAAATTGTGATGACTTATATCGACCTTCAAAACCCGTTTGTCAACCCCTGAATGGCCCTATTCTTTGCAGCGCACCCCACAGAAATACCTTTGACCACCACAGCAATGGTGCCAAGTAGCTGGAGAGAGATCGAGAGAAACGCATGAATCGAGCGTGATGCTCTTTTCTTGCCTTCACTAGAAGCTCTTTCTTTCGAAGCTCCTCCTTCTCGCGCACAAGGTCCTCAGCATCTGGTTCATCAGATGGCGCTGGCTCCTGTAGCTGCTGGATGGCTTTGTCACCATTGGTGGCCTTGCCAACATTGGTGGCCTTGGGTGTGACAAGCCCTGGTGTGACAGCCGGGGAAGGTTCCGGGGATACAGCCGCCAACTCTTCAGTGGACTTACGTGCCAAACATGCACGCACTGCATCAGCAACATCAGGTGGCAAGTCAGCAGGAAGTGACAGTGACAAGAGCTGTTCTGATTTCACTGCCACCTCAGCCTCCTCAGTCTTGGGAATTTGGGGCTGGGGTTTGGCCTTTGCAGCTGTTGGACGTGGAGCATGTGCAGGTTCCACTTCCTTTGGCAGAGGGTCAAGGATGGCCTGACTTTGCACCCGTCGGTCTAGCTTCGGTGCCGAGACATTCTTGACATCTGCAGCCGCATCTGATCTCTTGATCTTGGCCCTTGGTGTCACCAACTCTTGTTGCAGTTCTTCTGCTGTAGCTGGCACCGTTGTGGCATCCGAGTCTGGCCAGCAGCAAACGCACTGTCCAGGTCCCGTCAAACGGTACAGTAAGTCGATAGGTCACGCATCATGCACAAACAGTGCGTGATACATATATGCGCGTACAACATGACGTACATTCTGTTCAATTGATGTTTGATTCAGCTAGCCACTTGAATGCATGTATATGGCATGTAGGTAGTGAACCAGCTCAGTTTCATGTTGTCTCTATGACAGGCCGCGCTTGCCTCAATGCAATCGCCTGGGCTCCCAAGCTAGAAAAAGGGAACAGGGATGAAACACCCTCCTGTGCCTGCTTCAGGTGGAACTCTTCTTGGCTTCTTCGCTTGTTGTTGAGTCCTGCCCAAGAGATGAGAATGGTGAATTCCAATCACACCTTGGCTGGATTAACTGTGTGACCCCAATTGAAGATCAAGTCAAACGTCAAACAGAGGATCCTAGGCATACAGACAAAATGATGTTGCAGTCTTGGGATCACATCAAACGGTCTTGGGGTCACCTCACATGCTGACCAAAATACAATTGGTGAAATCGAACAATGTGCATCAAGGCAAAGAGACAAAGAGGATCGACGTGTCAAACCTGCTTCGCGTGTTTCCCACCCGGTGACACCCAAAAGAGCACCACAGGCGCCCATATCCCTAAAAGATGAATTATGGTGTTGAACTGAAGAGCATGTCACTCACATAAATAGAGCATTACCCTACAATGTTGTTGGTCCACCAGTCCTGACATCATGATTGGTGTCTCCGGCTTCAGGATCACAGCTTTCCCCCAAAGCTGATTTCCCGGCTCGGCGGGCAGCACGTGTTAGGACATCAGCCACCGACCCAGACCCGAACATGGCACCTACCGGCGGCTAAGCTTAGCCAACCCACACACACACTCCAAATAGCTGCAAAGAAAGTTCCAAAGGTCAAAAGGTCCAAAATGGTAGCTCCACTCAATGCATGCCACTCCAAAACTTATAAGTTCATGAATGTTCCAAAATCATCAATTTAGAGTGCATTTTAGGGGGTATGTCGTTCACGCCCAAAAATGGTCTTTCACGCCCAAGAATGTCCGTTCACGATATATTCACGGTCGTTCACGGTCCATTCACGGTCCTCTTTTTTTTGTTTTTGACTGTTTAGCCGTCATGCAGGGTGTCATGTGACGCTTGGCTAATTGCTGGTCACCCTGTGAGCAAATCACAGTTGAGACTAAATTAGAAGGCCAATTCGAAACATTTCAATCCTCAAGCCCTGAATGAAGTACAGGGTGATACCTCCCTGCATTCCTCTCTGAAATCAAGAATGATTTCAGCTCCCCAAGGCCAGCATGGCGCCAACGATAGGGGGCCTCCCCGCCGGCACATGTACTTACCACCATCATTATTAAAAACCATATGCTTGCACAGTCATTGCACAGTCAGGGTTCCAATGCTTCAAAGATCTTCAAAGCATGCATATAGTATGAGACCTGGCCTGGCAAACACGCAACAAAGCATCCGGCAAGCCACCCTGAGGTGGATAGATCGCCTCCCGAATGACAGCCACATTTGCAGGTTTCTCCTGAGGCAGCGAGAGGGCAACGGTGAAAGGGTGAGGGAGGCCATGTTTCTTTTGATGCAAGCTTCATGCCAAGAGTGAACCCCTTTTCTTGGGATAGCCTCAAAATATACCACAGTCAAGGAACCATCCATGTGCGATGAAAATGACACACAGCTTCACCATACCCCTGTGGGTAAACCTGGGAGGCACGTAGAGTCTTGGAGACTCCACACCTCAGGTTTGGAGGGCAAAGTATATGAATTAATGTGAATCACTGTGCATGCACAGAAGGAAGTTAAGACCAACACACACGCTTCTTGCCAGATTTGTCAATGTATTTCTTGACAAGGCCCTTGGACTTGCGGTGCCGTTTTCGGACTTCTTTGGTAAGCTTCTTCTTGAGGCGGTAGTGCCAAGGTCTTAGACACAAGCAGTCAGGAACCAGACCACCAGACCAATGTTGGAGCATGTTTACTACCCTGCACTCCTGGACAGCGGTCAAATGCTTTAGGGATTAAGTTCCCAGCGCATTGCCAAACACCACAGTTGGCTTCAAGTTCTGATGCCCCCCAGGATCCCATCCAACTTAGAAGACAATAGCAGTGTGAGCAATCGCAAATAGAGCTAGTGCTTTTCAGTTTTCCAGAAGTGCATAAACTACAGCTGAGAGGCAATCGAGTGATGAGCCAGGGCAAAAACTTGGACACGGTTTTTGCCAGCCAGGAAACATATGGAAAAGCCAGCATCATCGTGGAGGACGGTTGCTCCACCAAACACACAACACATCTGGCAAACCCAAGGAGAAGAAGTAGGCACATCCGACATGTTACCCTTAGTTCACACCCCAACAATTGTACAAGCTTTGAATGCCATTAAACGGATAGATCTTTTCAAAGGTGGTTCCTTTCAATGTGGACTTTCAAACGTTTTGGTCAACCTGCTATACATTGCAAACAAGGATCAAATTCGCTTCTCTTATATACTCCTTGACACCAAACCCCAATGGCCGAGATCTGGTCCGGCCCGATGTTGCTCGGTTCAAGAAAACAAATGAGCCACAAGGAGGGCCAGCCGTGGCCAGCCCTCCTTCACACACTTTGAGCAACAACTGGATGCTGGCCATGAAGCCAGCCGTTAGGTGCAAATTGCACACACAGGGTGTTAGCTACTGATGACGTTGGGAACCAAATACCTGAGAACAAGACGTTGTGGTAATGTCACCTTGAGGTCCTCCCTCTTTGTCAAAGCCTTTCCTCAGGGTAACCCACATCAAACATCCCAAGTAACACCCAGTCACATAGTTTGGGCTGACCCCATCACGCAAAATTTGATGCAATTGGTCAGCTGGTACAAGGCTCGCATCACACCACAGATGCTAAGCCACACACGACTTCAGATTGTTGGCATCTCAGCTGTGCAAAGTGTTGGTGTATTCAGTTCATAGAACCAGAACAATGCGAGATGCAAAGAAACTCCCCACAAGTAATCACTCCGAATTGTTATATGACATCGAGTCCAATCTGTATAAGGGTGGTACTGAAAGCTTTGTAGATTGCACCTTGACCAGCAAAGAGATCCACATTGACCAAAGCCTGGCCAGCCACACTCCTCCCAGAGTGTGGGGGTGTTGGTGTTGCTTTTGTATCCAATATCTAAGTGTAGAACCCGTGAACTCCGACTTCCAGGCGGAGTATTCTCCACAACATAGTCTATGCAATGAAGACTTAGCTGACTCAGGCAAAGAGGATAGTTTCACACAGCAGTTTTTTGTTTGGTGTTGCCATGGAAATTGCATGTATGTTGCACTGTGTTTGATCCCACTAGTGTACTTCTCTGCAGCTGTGCAACAAGACCAATGGTGCCCCAAGACACAGCAGGAGCTGTGAAGCACGAGCGCTCAAAGCCAAAGGAGACCCTTGCTTGGGTGACTGGCGCGGGGGTGACCGGTGCATGTCAGGGCTATGAAAGATCAAAAAAGGCTGTTTTGATCCAACAGCTGCCATCCCACAATCAATCCTTCACAGTTGGTCTCAACAGTGGATTGTTTGCACAGCTGAGACAGCACACACACACTGTTGGGACTTGTGTGTTTTCTTCACTCTCCAGCAACTATACCCCTTCAGACGTGTTCAAAACACATCGATCGCTAATCCCAATATTTTGACTGAAGCCAGGCCGGGGGGTCGCACACATCTAGTAGTTGCACACTGAGCTGGAAAACATATGCATGCATGCCTGCATGTGCTTATGGTAGGTCCTCACCCCTTATGCCAGCCAGTCGGACATCAAGACCAGTAAATGCACTGGCCCCACAACAAAACTAGCCCGCGGGGATCCACAAAGGATCAGGACTCTTCATCAGAATCCAGTTCATCAAAAGCTGCCCAGCCAGCCAACTGTTTTGCCACCATCCACCTGGGCCAGGTGCGGTCCGAAACTGTTGGAGGATACTTCTGAATTCACAAATTTGTTTTGTCAGCAAGGCAATATATCAGGTCCTGACGCGTTCGAAATTCCATACTTTGACCAGGCCAGACTCACACCTTTACGGATGTTGGCCTGGGTCGGATTGCTAGTTGCTGGTTGGATCTCTGAATATTTTTGTCATCCTGTGACACAAATCAATTTCTTCAACACCCACACACACACACACATACATGCACATTAATTTACAAAACGAGTCACATTCAGCGCGAGGTGGTGCACCTTGTTTGCCTTCTCAATACGTCCCTTTGAATGCAGTGCCGGAAAGAATGAGCGCGTGTTCAGCCTTAAAAGCAGCACACCAATATATCAAACATGATGCGATCACACATGATAGTCCTAGTTGATTTTTTGAATGTATTGTTTGACATTGTTTGCCATGGGACTGAATGCCAATGGACCCAGGATCTGGCACATCTGACCAGACCTTTCGAGGCATCCGCACAGTAAAGGTCCTGGGACATGTGCGCAACTGGTGTAGACTAGTCATGTTTTGGTGGTTGCACAGACAGATCTATCAGACTGCCAAATCTGATTTTGGAACTCTAAGAAACCAACTTGAAAGTCAACTCCGGTGTCTCGCCCTTTGCCATGGCTTCCAGAACTCGTGCAACTTCAGGGGGATACTGCAGCAAAGGGCACTTTGTAGAGACCAGCATTTGTTCCACTTCTTGCAGGGCATTCACCTGATTCCAAGTGACAAAGGAAACAGTTACCAAGCATTATAATTGCGTTGAATCAGTTGTGTTCACTCAACATTCATACCTTAGAAGAAACTGAATGCAATTAAATTCTGCTAAGCATCAATATCAGTATCAGTCTTTGGTTTGGCTTTCCTCTTTGCATTTCCTCCCTTCTCATCATCAAACAGTCGCCTCCTCACGCCATCATCACCACCCGAGGCTGCAGCTAACTGATGCTGCACCACTCGTTTAGAGGCCCGTGAAGCCAACTTCATGGGACTGATCTTCTTCCTCCCCCCTTTCTCATCTGTCTCCTCTTCTT